TGACGATGCACAGAATAATATATTAATAATCTAAAGTAAAAATAAGAGAAATTAAATAAAAAAATGAAAAAAAAACAAACAAAAGAAAAATGAATCTCCGAAGAGAAATCGTAGTAGATGATGTATATAAAGTAATTGGTATTGAAAAATCTCGAAGTCAATTAAAACTCTAGATACAAAGGATTCGGCGAGACAAAATACCAATTATCTCGTGTCCTTCGCTTCACTGGTCTCCTCTCTTCCACTTTCTCTCATTTTCTCTCAGTTTGTGTCTCTCTCTCTGCAGTCCATCCAACCATCCCTTACGTCGAAGGCGAACGTAGAGGTGAGCGGTCGAATCAGGGCGAGGGGTTTGAAGAGTGGTGGTGGCAGTATTCGCTTACAAGAACTCAATTCCATTAGGCATTGAAGTGAGTAAAACGAGGCAGCTCCGTGTGCTGGATGGGCATCTATATAACGCACTCGCATCTCGCTTATCTACCTAATAAAGGTATTCCCTTCCTCCCTTTGTCGACTTCCTCGCCACCCCTCTTTCTAGCTTCTCGCTGCGACATAAAGCGTGTGCCAGTGAGGTGTCTCCGCGAGACAATCCCTTGGGATGACAATGCTTACCCCACGTATGAATGCCACCAATGCTTCCTAGGTAATTTAAGTGTGGCTTTCTTGCTTTCACCACCACCACCATCACCACCACTATCATCATCATCATCATCATCATCATCATCATCATCATCATCATTCTCATTCATTTTCTTTTTATTCTTTTTTATTAATCATTCAATATCATCATACACACATCCTCTTATTCTTATGAGGAAAATGTTCGAGCAAAGTTTAAATAAGACGTTGAGAGATCGTAGAATTCACTAATTAGGGATTGTTGAAACTCAGGTACATGCACAGGTGTATAACGATGTATTATATATACATTGAGAGAAGAAACACATCACTCGGATGAGTAAGATTATTCGTGCGACGTCGAACCCTGCAAATTAAGTCGATTGCTCGACCAACAGGAACGATCGAGACTGGCAACTGAAGAGGGGTTTTAAAGTGTTATGGGTTGGAGAATATTTCCTTCCTGATGTGCAGGATAGTGCGATAATCGCATCGAATTTCTGCTGATTATAGGCAATCGCAGGTCGGAAGATACGCTGTTAGAGGGTGCGAACGATGTTGCATAAAAGCAGTTAGAGAGTGAGAGACAGGGTAGGTCCATACCACGTCGCCACCCCGATGTGTACGCTCGAACGCGTTGCGTAATTAGCGACTGCCTCGCCGGTTTTGTGGGTGGGCGCGGGTGAAATGGGTGCGAGCAACCCCAGAACCCGTTCGAGCGACTCGCGCTCTGCCACGTGCGTTAACGCATCTACTATCTACAGGGTGACTTTAGACGTAAGATCAAATTCAGAATCTAATTTATCCTTTAGCTTCGTCAATTAATATCTAATTAATTATAGGAATTATTATAATTAGTAACATAAGAGAATCTCGTTAAATTGCATTTATATAATATTTATATATTTATATATATGTTTGTGAGAATTTGTTACAAAAAAAAAATAATCAAATATATATTTTATAAAGATAAATTAAAAATATTTATTTAAACGTTCCTAAGTGTTAAAGATAAATAAAAGATTATCTGTTAAGTTATCCTGTTTAGGACGCTAATCCCTTTCGAAACACCCTGTATGAAGGAAGGAGGTAAAAGGGAGAGAGAGAGAGAGAGAAAGAGAATAACGTAGAGAGACTACCGAGGCGTAGACGCAATTAATGCAGAAACCCAGCACGGACGTCGAGGGAGTTTCGAGAAGGGCATCGCTATGCCGTGCCGTGAGACGTAATGACTAATTGAGATTGGAAAAGGGGGAATAATACGATCCGGGTGGTCACGGTAAAACGCACTTTCTCTCTCTTTCCTTTCCAACAACTTCTCGACGTTGATGTTCTCCTTCATCAGCCTCCGCTGCTACCACCACCACCAACCACCCCGCTTCTTTTCGAGAATCCACTTTTTCTCTTTAGCTTAAACGACAAAAGATCTCTCGCTTGCAGGCACAAAAAATTGATTTACAAACTCAAACCAAATTTGCTGTCGTATACCGATCTTCAAATCCTCTATTCTTTCACGCAATTAAGATTCGATCGATTTAATGAACTACTCTTTGAGACTATTCTACCATCTACCTCAAGCCCACCTTTTTCTTCACTCGATAAAACGTCAGTTTTCATTTCTATCAAGGATTCTAACACACCGTTCTTTTTTTTGATTATTATTATTATTATTATTATTTTCGTTGTCAGAATTTGTTGAAACCTGTGTCATTTGTTCAAGTATGATCAAATCGGTTTAGTATACTTGGTTTCTCTTGTTTCATTTTTATGAATAATTATGACACGATTTTTAATTATAAATATTAGACAATATCGAGATCGATATTGTTTAATTTTTACCCAGTTGACTTCGTTCCTATAGGAAATTGATGAGCCTCCCCCCACCCCAATAGGGAGATAAATAATTTCTCGACAAGAGTATTTACAGGAAAAGGAATACTTTACACGACATCTAGCGGAACTCAGTAATATCTTGTTAAAATGTAAATCCGATTGTATACCGTCTATGGATTAATTGTTTAATTTCAGCAAAAGGGGAATGCGAAACAAAAATTTACGCGTTAGGGGAGAAATCTGTTTCTTTTTTATTTATTTTCTAAATTTGGAAAAAACTATTATTTAACGTCGTTTATATCTTCTTCCTCTTAAAATGAGAATTTGTTTATGAAAATCTGTCGAAAAATTCTACTTAAATTAAAAACTCATCAAACCATAATAAGACCATAAAAACTATTAAGCATCCTTAAATAAAAATAATCCTAACTATTCGAATCGATCAAAAAATTCTATCTAAATTCATAATGTATTAATCCTTTGAATACTATAGTAGCATATATGCGTTCAACGAAAGCTATCCGTATGAACAAAGGAAGCATATATGATTTTATCAATTTTGTCGATCTCTCTAGCGTTTGAGATTATTTTCTTTTTTCTTTTATTCGATCAACATATAGTTCACATTTAACAACAACAACAAAAAAATAGTATTCCATTCTCGACGATTATATTGGAATATATTCAGCATTCAAAGGTTTAAATAAACTCTACAACAACAATTATCATTTAAAAATCGATGACAAATAAATAGAACAAATGATTATTACTACTAATCTTTTTATTAATTAACAAGAGAAAGATCAAGTATATTTAAGTATTATATTCATTATATATAATAGTTTGTCGCGTGAAATAAGAAAAGAGGGGGGGGGTTAGAATGTCTGATAGTATTCGGGATGTTGAAAGGTGGCAAAAGAAGAAGAAGAAGAATAAGAAGAAGAAGGAGAAGACGAAGAAGAAGGAACACAAGGCGAGTGACATTCGTCGAGTTATTGTTCAAACGAGCGAGAACGAATTCGTGAGTTCTCCAAGAAGGCTTCCTCCTCATCGTCTACCGTCGTATTCCTCGTTGTCGTTGTCGTCGTCGTCGTCGTCGTCGACGTTTCCATTCGGTGTTGGCTCGTCGACATTAAGATAATTATTTTCTAGGAGGACGTGCGCGTTCATTGTCGTCGTTACCGCGACAGAATGGTATTATGTATTGTCGTGAAGAAAACGTGAGAGTAGTAGAGTTGGTAGGCGAGTAAGTACAACAACGTTGAGATCTCTACTGTTATACCTTAGCCATCGCGTAGGTGGAACATTATGCTTCGTTGAGCTAAAGAGAAGAAATAGAAAGAGACAGAGAGAGAGAGAGAGAGTGAGAGAGTGAGAGAGAGAGAGAGAGAGAGAGAGAGAGAGGAGGGGGATAAAGAAGAAAAGGGGATGGAAAGAGATAGTAAGAGATGTTGGAAGTTAGGTAGAAGGGGAACGTGCTTTCGTAGCATTCATCGAGGGTGCTCAGGAACGATGTAGAACCACGAGACAGACTTTGAATCGCAATGTATCATCATCCACTGTCTTTTTAGCCGGCGTTGCCATTAATGTGATTATTTCTACCGAGTGTTTTCGAAGCCTCGAAATAATATTTCCTGGGAAAATCGAGATTTCTTTTCATTCGAGACTACACCTCGCCCAATGAGAGTCCTACTCAATTTTATTTTTTTTTCCTTTTTCTTTGTTTTTTTTTCTTTTTTCTTTAGCTATTCGCACATCTATCGTCGCGGGAATTCTGATCATTGTAACGATATTGTTATTCATTCGTATAGGGGGGGGGGGGAAATGCTGCTTGTAAATAATTTTATAATTCTATAATTGTAATACAATACTATACAATTGTTTATAATTATACTTTGTATTAGAGAAAATAGAATTGTTTTTTTAAATGGAAATTTAATAACATTATACTTTATTATATCTCGGAATTATTTTCTTTCTTTTTCATGTTGTATTGTCACATTCCCGGAACACACCCTGTATATATATATCTCTCTCTTTCTCTCTCTTTTTCTTTCTCTCTCTTTTTCTTTCTCTCTCTTTTTCCATTGATTTGATTCGATTCGATTCTTGCGCGGTCGGTGATTAAAGTGCCTCGAAAATGTAAAAAGCACGACGGATATTATCGAATCGTTCTCGCGTGAAACTCGTTTACGCGCGTATGCGACACGATTTAATTACTTTCCAAGAGAACGAGCCTAGCTTTTAATAAAAATGGAATTTTTCTCTATCGTTAGACAGTCGATTTCATGCACCCTCGATTTCATTTTTTTTTTCCCAAGTGAAATGAGTCGCATGAAAATTTTCTGTCCGTTTAATCGTCGTCTATCTTTCTCTCATGACTTTTCAATTCCTTTTTTTAAATTAATCGTTTATATCAAGTCAACACAAAATATGTTGAGTCAAATCGTCAAACGTTGATTGTACTATGTGACCAAATCAGATTTATTTTGAAATATTTCATTTCAATCTACGAAGAGATATGAGAGATTGAAGAAAAATTTATTAAACCGTCTAACCTCGATAATATGGCCGCAGAAAATACTTTCATCGAAGAGGACGGCTTTGGATTTGTACCAAGGCCAGATCGGAAACAACATGGAAGATCTTACGAAATTGTGCGCAGGTATTTTTGTTTATTCCATTGTAAAAATACAAAGAGAAAATAATAAGTTCAATGATATTTATCAAATTGTTAACCAACTAACAGATACACCTTGACGAATAAAAATAAAGCAATAGTCAAATTAATATCTTGGGGTGCAGGAATACAATCTATCAAAGTACCAAACAAAAAAGGTGACATAGGTGACGTAGTTTTAGGATTTGACGACATGAACGGTAAGACCGTTTCTTCCTGTTTAGTTTCAATTAAATATCTATACAAAATTATCAATACTTTCAATGACAACGTAATCAGGATATTTGGAGAACAGGTATATGGGAAGTATACTCGGTCGTCTGGTTAATCGCGTTGCTGATGCTAAAATGCGTATCAAGAAAACTATCTATTCTTTGTCGATCAATGACGAATATGGGAAGGATCATGTTAATGGTGGAGTTGTTGGGTTTGATAACGTTAATTGGAATTCGTATATATTGAACAAGCAAGTGGTATGTCACGAATTAAACATTATATTGAACATTTTTATCTGTTTGTTTTTTTTTCAAATCCTTTGAATCCTCGCAAACAGGTTATGTCTCATCTGAGTCCTGCAGGTAGGGAAGGATATCCTGGTCATATGTTGACGCAAGTCAAATATACTTGGTCTGACGATAATCAATTGTACGTCAATATTCGTGCAACTGCTACCGAACCAACTCCAGCTAACATCACCAATTATTGTTTCTTTAATTTAGCCGGTCACGTAAGATAATATTTTAATGTTTATACAAAATTATTTATAATAATTAATATTTTTTGATTTCATTAGGGTATGGGTCCAGAAGAATTAAAAAAACACGTTGTTACGATAAATGCCGATAGTTGGACGTTCATGGACATTAAAAACAACTTGCCGACCGGTGCTATTTGTCCTGTCGAAAATACGGTCTATGATTTACGTTTACCGACGCAATTAACAAAAGAAACACTTTATCGCGTACCTGGAGGTGGTTACAATCATAATCTGTGTATTTGCAGTCCAAGTTCTTGGTGTTATCGATTTCATGCTAGGTAAATTTGATACAATTTATTACGATTAGGATTAATTATATTTTTCCTATCAAGGATTATACATCCTGAATCAGGAAGGACTCTAGAAATTTATTCTAATCATCCTGGATTACAATTTTACACTGGAAACGATTTGCCTGATCCTGATCGTGTTTATCCACCAGATTGGCCAAATTATATTCCAGAATTTCGTGATAAAGTATGACAATGACTATAATTTCATTTAAATTAAATAAAAAATTGAATAAACGTTACGTTCCTTTTAGAATCGAACAAATTGGAGGATTTATGGAAAAGAAGGTATTTCTTACCGAAGACACGGAGCTTTCGTTTTGTCACCACAAAACTACCCTAACGCTATTAATATCGATCATTTTCCTTCTTGTATCCTTTATCCTGGAAAGGTTTACGTCCATGACATGACCTATAAATTTGGTTTGTTGAACGAAAATTATTAATTTATAGGTTATTTTCTTGTGTTTCTCAGTGTCATCGAAATTCGTTTTGAAATAAACATTGATTGGCTGTATAAAATGAAATTTGTATTTTTTATTCACATGGTTAATGTGTTAACTATAGTGCTCTGCACTTTTACGAAGTTATCTTAAATTCTATTATAATATTATTCAGTAATATGTAAGCCACTGAAATTATACATGATTTATCTTTTTTCTTTTTTTTCTTCTTTATATATATATAATTATATGCATAATTTGTTGTTAAATCAGGTTAAAAGGCACATAGCGAGTTAAATAAGAAATTGACTCATTCGAGACTCGACGTTAGAAAATTCTGTCTCTTCATTTTTCTCTTTTACGTATCATCCTAAATTATATCCTACAAGTTATGTTAATGCTACAATTTCATAAATTATATTCATATATTTATATATCTATATTTATAAAGCTAGAATTTGTTTCCTGTGTACAATTATTGTTTTACTTACAATTAGAATAAGGCTTCAATGTTTGTACAATTCTAATCGATTGTGTTACCACTATCGTTAGATTTTTTTTCTTTTTTGCATTATAACGGGCAGTAATAATAATTATTATTATTATATTGATAAAGATTCATACAGATAAAGAGATTTCGGTTGGCAGTGACGATGCGTGTGTATATGTGTGTCTGTGTTAACTTTGGTAATAACTATCGTAGAAAACTTTGAAGTCCCTAAATCCCGAATTTTTCGTTTCATTTTGTTCTTTTTCTTTGAACACATTAATAATATGATTAGTTAAATCATTGGCAGTGTTAATTAATTAATATTAATTGTATCTCGTGTTAAAAAATGATGATTCAAACTTTTGGATACAACGTATGTATGTGTCCTCCATCATGCCCACCGAATAAAAATAGATAATAAAATAATTAAATTATATCGTTGCTTCTTATAAATCCTAAAAACCTTCATAAAATAAATCGATCAACGTCCCCTATATTCGAGTTATTTTAAAATATACTGTTTCATTGAGATATTAGGACGTTAATGTTCCCATTAGTACATTCAAACGGACAGTAAATAATTTGATCTATTTCATTCCGTGACTATAAGATGAATTCTAAAAGTCAATGGTTTCTCCCAAACTTCATTTTCCTCTGTTATACCATTTCTTGGACGACCATGTATGACTATATGAAATTGGCCTGGTTTCTTCAAACGACTACGGAAATGAAGTGCCCAAATTCCATAATCCTTAGCAATCTCAAAGTTTTCGTGTTTGTTACCATGAACTATCGTATATTCCATTTCTTCGTCCTGTAATTTAAACAATGTATAAACATTATTATTGTATAGGACATAAATTTTCTGCGAGAGTGAGTTTAAAGGCTTTGAGCTTTAAAAAAAAAGAAAAAAGAAAACAAGAAAAAACTTATATGTTTCGAAAACAAAATTGTTTCTATAATATAATAGGCTCAAGACTTTTCAACTCACTCACGTATTTTACCTTTATCGCAGGTTGCAATTTAACGATACGCATTCTATGTTTAGTCTGACGTATACTGATTTTTAAAACGTGTTCTTCGCCATGATGGTGTCTTCTTGCTTTTCGAGTAACACGGCGTTTGATTAATTCGTCTCGTTTCTGTTGCAACTCTTCGTCAACCGACCTTAATCGTGCACCTCTCCTACGTCTTCCTTTACCGTTTATCTGTGTAATATTTTATCAATTTTTTTTTGTCTTTTTATTTATGACAGTATAAAAATATAAAAAGAAAGATTGGTTGCAAAGTTTATACCTTGCAAGAGAAACATCCTTCCGTAGAAATAGTCTTATCATCGGCCGGTGGAATGTGATAAGTATCCGGATTAATTAAATACGTTGGAACATTGCCAATTTCTTCACCATAGTTCGGTTGAGATAACGGATTAATCGTTGACAAACAATGGCCCTGAATTTTCAAACCGAAAATTATATTACATTGTGTATTTACATAGTACATTGCAATAAAAAAAAATAATAATATTATTGTTAACGAACTTGTCCGATTCGTTGATAACCGGTTGGACAACCACAGATGAAACCATTAGCACCATTAGGTGTGCATCCAAAAGCACAGGGAGATCCCAGACAACCAGCGCTGACCTAAAAATACAAAAATATATAAAATACGTGGAAAAAGATGAGCAATTTGAAAAAAAATCTTTCGACTTCACACCTGAACACAAATCTGTAAATTATTATCAAATTGATAACCATCAGGACAACCGCACTTGTAACTTCCGATCGTGTTAATGCAAGTATTTTCACCGCAAGGAGAATTGCTGCATTCGTTTTCATCGATGCATTGACTGTAGTAAAGGTGTTGAACAAATCCTTCCGGACAACCACAACGATAGCTTCCCATGAAATTCTATAAATGTTTATAAATATTTTAGATCGATTATTTCTACGATACATTTTGACTATGATAAGTACGTTTCGCTTACTTGACAACCATGTTCGCAATTAGTATCATCGGCACATTCGTTATGATCGGTACAGAATCTTCCAGATTGATCAAGCTTAAATCCTCTGGGACAGATACATCGGAAACTGCCAAGAGTATTGACGCACGTACCCGGTTTCGGACAAGTCCCAGGTTGTTCGCACTCGTTAATATCTGCAAATAATTTTTTTTATATATATATATATATATGTATATACCAAACATTAATTCAAATAGAAAAATTGTCTTATTACAAACCATGACAAGCATCCCCATCTTGAGTGTATCCTTCGCGACAACCACAAGTATAACTTCCTTGAGTATTAACACAATTTTGTTGACAAAGATGATTTCCTGTCGCACATTCATCCATGTCACGACAACTAATGCCGTCAGGATTTAATATAAAACCAGTCGGACAGGAACATATGAAACTTCCTTCAGTGTTTTGGCAAGTGTATTTGCATGGCTTGGGTGTTAATTCACACTCGTTCACATCTACGATAAAAATTTTCTTTTCTATAATACTCGATCATTTAATAATCAATAAAATTATTATTTAATATTGTTTTTTATACCAATGCAATGTGCTCCTGATTTGTCAGATTTGTATCCCTTGTTGCAAATGCATCTGTAGGAACCCAAAGTGTTAATGCACATTCCGTTTCTACACAAATCCGGTATCGTATTACATTCGTCAATATCTGTGTAAGGAAAATTGAAAAAATCAATAAATTATAAGAATATTGTTTTTTTTTTATCAAATAGTATTCAAACTAGTTCGGATATTTACCTTGACCATTTATTGAGAAACCCTTGTCCAAACATAATTCGTTGTAATCATCCGAGTCTCTAGAAGGACATATTTCACAATGTGGACCCCACGCAGCACCCATAGTGCAACAACAATCAGCTTTAGTCACTGTTCGTAATTCCGAGGTTCTCGCTGTACATCTACCACCGATCGTTTGCAGGAAACAATAACCAACTCTACGGTCTGAAACGTAACAATGATTTTCTTCAATCAACAATTACATCATACGATTAAATAAAGTTCAGAAATACAATTATACAAAGATAGTTATTATACTTATAAGTCATCATTAATAATTAAATATTTGACACAATTTTTTAATAAAAAAAGCAAAATTATACTTTAGCTTTAAATAGACAAAATTGAATTGTCTTCTTACCAATGCAAGATTTGCCATCAGCACTTTGTTCAAAACCTTCGTAACAGTAACATTGATAACTTCCATCTAAATTGACGCAACTTCCGTGTCTGCATAATCCAGAATTAATAGAACACTCGTTAATGTCCTTGCATTCGTCGGCCATGCCAATTTGTTGATATCCAGGTGGACAAATGCACATGAACGTGCCAATTAGATTTTTGCATTGATATTTGCAATTGTTCGCTGGTGTTGCACACTCGTCGACGTCTGATCGATTCAAAATCATTATGAAGTATCAAGATATTTAATTAGTAATTTATTTATTATTGCAACATACCAATACAATGTCTTCCATCAGGAGCTAAAGTATATCCATATGGACAGATACATCTGAACGATCCAGGAGCATTATGACACCTAAAAGCACATTGGTTGCCCAATTCAAGGCACTCATTTATATCCTCGCAGACCTGATTAACACCAGGCGTAAAACCATCGTTACAGGAACATTCGAAACCACCATCTATGTTGTTACAGGTACCGTTGCCACAAATATTCTGAACGGTTAAACATTCGTTGTTGTCGATGCAACGTCTTCCAGTTTCATCCAAAACGTAACCAGATGGACACTCGCATCGAAATGACCCATCAGTATTTATACAATCGCCACCAGAACAAGCATCAGGCATGAAAAGACATTCGTTCAAATCGATGCCCGTATCGTCACGACCTGGTCCTTCTGGACATAATCTTCTGAAATCCTCTGAATGAATAAACGTATACAAAATTGTTATTACTTCAAATCTTGATCACTTTGAGGTGAGAGATATAATTTATTTGTTACTTATTATTAATAAGTAATTTATTATTTAATTACCACTGTTCTCCGATGGACATTGCTCGCAATATTTGCCCCAAGCTTTACCCATGGTACAACAGCAATGTTTCTTCGTCATTCCACCTTTTCTAGGAAAAGAACATTGGCCACGTCTATAACTATCGTAACATTGTTCCTCCCTAACATCAATGCATCTCATGGAATTAGGTTTGTCGCTCAATTGAAAACCAACTGGACATTCACAGATAACACCACCGTCCGTGTTGATACATTGACCATTTTCACAAATGTCGATCGTCTCTAAACACTCGTCGATGTCTGTAAATAAAATAACAATTAATAATGAAGTTTCTTTTGTAATAATAATAATGAATTCACGTACCAACGCATCTTCTTCTTTCATTGTTCAATTCGTAACCGGGTGGACAATTACATATATAAGATCCCATTAAATTTTTACATTTTCCTGGGAACGGACACAAGCCAGGTATCTAAAAAGAAAAATAAGGAATATTTATTTCAATTGACGTTTAATTTACTAGTTGTCAATT